AATAGAAATGGTGATGTTCAATTAGACTAGTGTACTGTAGTTTTCAATATACAGAGAATCACAAGGATTGAACGGTTTAATTAACACATAACAGATAATACACAGCTGCAACAACCAACTGTTTATTTAATGCAAACAATGACCATACAAGGTTAAAGACTTACCTGCCAACTATCATCTTTTCTTTTTCTGAAGGAGAATTTCTGAACGTACTCCAGATATCAAGAGTAAACAACGTACTAGCACTATTACATATAGATGACAGAGAACTCATGAGAGCTGCTAACATCACAGCCAACATCAGACCACGAAAACCTGAAAAATACATGTACATGTATATAGAGAAAATCAGAACGCCAAAGCTTAAAGGGAAACCACTCTATCCTATGGATTGCACCAAAGAATCATGGGACACTATTGTTTATGTTGTTTACAATGTTAATCTATCTTTTGTTATCTATTGTTATTTTAATCCAGAAAGTAAATTTATTGCGGGATTAGGCTTAACTGGAAGTGCCCCTTTAAGTTATGAATATATCATGTGGCAATATTCAAGCAAAACATCACATGATAAAAAGGTTAATAATGTGAATCAACCTTATGTTAAAGGGTGGTAGTCGTCGCGCCATGCATGCGCAAGATATGGGTCTCATATAAACAAAGATGGTGACTTTGACTGTTGCGCAGATCAACGAGTACAAACTGAAAAAGTTTTAATTAGTTATTTTATTAGGTGTTTTTAAGGTATCGAAAGAGTCACAATCGGTAATTAGTGCTCGTTCTAATTTCCATTAGAAGAGCGCATTGGATTGTGGGAAAATCATGCGCAGCGCGATGAGTACTGCCCTTTAAACTAATGATTTATAACATCAGATAATCCTCAAGTTCCTAAAATCCTCTCTAAAATTCCAAAACACCCCTCTGATTATACCAATCCTAGAATGGTATATTTTAAGTGATGATACCACCCACAGAATGAGCCATGAATTGAATCTTTCACCTGGTGTGCATAGGCATAATGATTGACTTCTAAGATGACTAGCATAAACAACTTACCAATGGGTAATATATTAACAACTAACAGTGGATAGGCTATATTAGAACAGCTGATAGAGTTACCACATATAGCCTCACAAGACTCTGGTAAAACACAGGCAACAGCATCTGAAACAATCAATGTGGTGTTTGCATAAAATTATGTAACAATCCCTTATCAGATAAGGAAATAAATATCACATCTGACTTGCTGTATATAGTATACCGGGGGTATGTTTATTTCATCAGAAAAAAATGAAAATACAAGTAGTTAAATAGATAAAAATTAAAATTAAAAAAATCTGATGAGGACTGTGAAAATAGTTCTACTGAACTTAAAGAGGAGCTGATATTATAAATAGGGGCAAGATGGCCACCGCAATTAGTATGCTAATTCGAACCAAGCCGCTCACATCGTGGCGGGAGCTCTGGGAAATGTGCCATTTACGATGTTTGGAGATCAAGCTGTGATTTCAAATACATTTCTACGGGGGCATGAATATGTACGCTAGCGATTACACTCATCTGATTGGGCTTTTAATATATAAATGTTGTTGTTTTCGGTCGAAGCGTGCCGTGACAAGTAAAAATCATGAGTTTAATATGGCGGCTAATGTATGCAAAATGCCTGTCAATCACAGTTTTCCAAGTGTTACCTTTTTGGCAGATGAGTGAAATACAGAGAAAATAAAATATGTCTAATAAATTTCAAATGGTTTGAGAGTTTCTAGGTTTTTTATGTAACATGCAGATAATCAGAATTTTTATTATTCGGTGACGGCCATCTTTGTTACTTACTGGTGTAGAGAACTCTACTGATCATTCCAGGAATAACAAATAAAAATGTTGGTAATATTTTCAAATATCCAGCCATCAATGTACCACCTTTAGCATGTGACATATTCTTAGCTGCCAATGTACGTTGTACTATAACCTAAAAAAAAAATATTTATTAAATCAGTACAGTAGAATCTCCAAAGAAAACTTTGAAATTTGATGATTTAACATTTTGTCAATTAATTTAATGTGTTTTGGCATTAAAATTTAAACCCTACACTTGATGCCAAGACCTTTTCTTTAAATTAAATTTATTATTAATTGAATAATCAGCCAAATCTTACATCATAAATCTCAATTCTTTGCTTTAACCATAGACCCTCTTTTAGAGGGTCTTTGCTTTAACCTTTTAACCACCACTTTTTTCTGTATTCCTCTAAATATTTCTAGAAGTGAACCCTAATTTTGGAGCCAATAGACAAAATTTGAGTCAATTTTCAGTTTTTACTCAAAAAATTTGGCTATTTTTGTTCCAATCTTCTGAAGGATAGTGCAGACTATAAACAGAACTATTTTGTGAATTTGTGATTAAAAGAGAGAACTGGTGGTGAAAAGGTTAAAAAATATCACATCAAAAATGTCATTGTATTTGTACAACATACCTGATCAGCACACCAGTACCATATTGATGCTGTAGTCTGTCCTAGAAAAAAGCCAACCCATGGCATGAGGTCATCATCAGCAGAATGCAACATCTGAAATGAATCGTTTCTAGGGTAACCACAATCTGGAGTGAGTCCTGATAATGTGGTGTTTGGCACAGCCGCCATATAGCCATGGTACAAACCTTCCAAACCACCAACTTCAACTAAACCTGCAAAAATGCAATTATTTTTAAATGTAAAAACAATTATTGTTAATATATTGGTTAATTTGATTTTGAAGTTGAATTTCCAAATTTACAATTCAATATCAAAAGTAGAGGGGATTATGGAAATATCTTTACCGGTACTTAATTAAAATTGGGCAACATCAAATGCGTATAGCACATTTATCTATTGATGGCTGTTGTTTAACTAAATTAACCATAGACTACCACAATACTCTTATAAGGATAATGTGAATGTAACATAGTTTTTCATGTTTGTTCTTCTTGTTTTATATAATAGGCAGAATGGTGTGCATATATTTAAAGCCTGATACAGGTGCATTTTTGACTTGGAAAAGTAGACGAGTAACTGCCATTATTTCTAGCTTGAAAGTCACAAAGTGAAAAGTATGTATTTCCCGTTTTATCAATGTCGATAAGTTGACACAAGAACTTGAACAGACCATTATTATGTAATCTTATATGAAGTACCGGTAGATCATTTGATGCTACAGTATTAAGATCACAGTTTGTAATCACACAATACCGTAAAATACTTTATTTTAGCTGGAATTAATTTTCGCTGAAAAAACTTTTTGGGTGTTTTGTATGGAATTTATTTTCACTGATTTATGACGAGTTGATTTATTCATCTGAATCAAACTGAATTCAATTTAGCCAATTTCAGTTAAAACAAAAAAATTATATCTCGGTGAATAAATATGCATTCACAGTAGTTTGTAACATTTTTGCAATAATTCATAAAGATGAATATTTATTAATATGAATATAGATTTCATAATTTACTCACTAAATATCATGAGTGTTATTGCTCCTATTAATATGAGAACTGTCTGTACTGTATCGGTGTAAATAACAGCAGCTAGACCACCAGTGACCACATAGATGGATGTCAGCCCTAATATCAGTAATACTGAGGCATAGAGATTCCATCCAATGGTTACCTCAATAAATAAAGAAGCTGAATAGATATCCACCTAGAAATAAATGATAGATATACTTCATATCTGGCAGGAAAAACAATGGAACGACATTTTGTACGATTGTGTTACAAGTGTTACTGATATATTCAAATTTTACATCTTCCATATTTGGAAAATGTGCAAAATATTTACATTTGAATACTTTAGTTTGTTTACATTGAATGCAGGCACAATGTATTACAAGATGAAAATTGAATTACTGTAAAATACTTTATTTTAGCTGAAAAGAATTTTTGGGTGTTTTGTATGAAATTTATATCACTGATTTTTGATGAGTTGAATGTAAAATATAGGAAAAAAGGTATATTCGCTGGATTTATTTTCACTGAATCATTCCTTCAGCGAAAATAGCAAAAATTAATTTCAAGCGAAAATAAAGTATTCTACAGTACAGCACTGGAGGAAACAATTTCATAGTCACAAAGATTTTTACATTACAATAGCTATCTCTCTTTCAATCATGTCGAAATAACAGAGGACTTTATAGAATGAGGAATTATGTATAACAAGTCATTGTCAATGACACGTCCCCGTTCCGTTCATATTTGAGTGACATATACATTCAAAGCAGATCATGACCGAAATGCACCTGCATATGTACAACACATTGTGCTAAATCTGAACAAAATCCATCCATGCATGACTGAGATCCGGTTCTGGAATTGTGAAAATACGTGATTTTGATGCATTTTCGGCCTTAAAATGGCCATCATTCCGCTATTGTTAAGCAGATCATGAAACAAATGCACATATCTATTTGTGACATGATGTACCATGTGTGTGTGAAGTTTGAACTTGATCAATCCAGACATGTCTTGGATACGAATCCAGAACTGAATTCTTTAACAAAATGGCCGCCAGTCGGCCATTTCGAACTTGATCCGAAAAAAAAAAAGACGTGCATCAAGGTCCTATTATGTTTAATGTATGTACCAAATTTGAACAAAATCCATCGATGCATAACTGAGATACGGGTCCGGAATGGTGAAAATGTGCGATTTCAATGCATTTTCGGCCTTAAAGCGGCCCCCATTTGGCTATCGTTAATGAGATCATGAAACAAATGCACATACATATTTGTGACATGATGTACCTTGTGTGTGTGAAGTTTGAACTTGATCAATCCAGACATGTCTC